GGCTCGCTCCCTTGTTCAGCCAACATGTTCAATGAGCGACCCTCTGGGCCAAAGGCCTGCAAACTTAGGGATATGCACAGAGAAGGAGATGGTGACAGCTTTGCCCCCTCTGCTCCTGACCCAGGGAGAACGAGGAGTTGTGAGGAGATGGTCTCCCAAGGGCCATAGGCCTCGGGAAAGAGGCCAGGGGCGCGGAGGCACAGCAAGCCCAGGAAGCTTCTCTGGGGCATGCCTAGGAGCCTCTCAATCCCTGTGAACTTGAGGACGAGCAGGGATGGGCAAACAGAGGCAGCAAGAAAGCATCCTGAAGGGTTCAGGGCATGTGCAAAGGCGTGAAAACTGGAAAGGACTCCACCGCCCAAAGCTCAGGACGTCCACGAGACAGTGCCATGGGGTAACCACAGCACGTGAGGCTGCAGAGACCACAGGCGCCAGATCACCAGGGGCCTTGAATGAGTTCCATTTATTTTTTCCTGAAAGTAGGCTGGGGGCCATTGAAGAAGGGCAAGCAAAGGCACATCGGGGTCCTGTTTGCATTTTCCATCCCTATGTTAGCTTTCCCATTGATTTCCCTTCCTTGGGAATTCCATCCAGGGGAACCTCTCACAGTCAGACTTGGCCCCAAACATCTCTCGCATCTCATCATCTCAAAGCAGAATAGAGCATAGAAATCATCTCATCTACTCCCATTAGTAGAGATGAAGAAAACTTACTCTCAAGGGATATGAGTTAGCATCGTCGTGAGTTTAAGTGAAATGAAACTCTTGCCTACCCCTCAGCCCTCCTAAGTCCACCTCCACCTGCCACAGGACAGCATCTGGGCTCCAGGAGGCAGGAGGGAGGGGGACCTCAGTTCTGAGGACATGGCTCAGAGCAGATCCTTTGCAATGTTGAAAAAATTTACCAGTTTTGAGAGCTGATCCAGTCTGTTCTATGAACACAAGAAAAATTCTAGCTGGTTTTGTAGATTTTTCTCATAGTGATTAGAAAGTTAAGCCCTTTTAAATCAGAGATTATTCTTGAGCCTCTGCTATTTAAATTACAACTCCCAAATCTTGAATGATGTAACAGACTAAAGTCCAAATGCTGCCTTTTTAATTCTGTGCATCCCATGGAAGTTATTTAATGTGACAGAAGGCCGTGCAGATTGGCCTGGTAGTGAAATCTTAGAAATGTAGTTTGTGCTGTAATGCTCACCGTATCCTCAATCCTCTAAAAAGTAAACAGGCTGTTTTGTCATGTTTTCTATCCAGGGAATCACAAACAAATCCAAAGAGGTGCGTGCAATCTAGAGGGTACCAAAGGCTGGTGATCTCCCCAGTTAATTCCTTCAACCGACAACACTGATCAGGTCATGCAGACTAGCCGGCCCTACACTTAGCAACCCAGAATCGGAAGGCCAACAACTCACTCATTATTCCTCAAACCATCTCTGCAAGATAAGGAGATTGGATCAACTAAAACGTGGAGCACAGGTTTATTCAGTCAGTCTCTAACTTCAATCAACGTTCTTAACCATGCAGAGGTACAAAGCCCCTTGCTTCTGGGATACCAGATCACCACAGCAAAGATGATGGTGTCTGGAGAATCCCAAACCACATGTCCCCTAATAGTCACTTCTGCTCCACCAGGCAAATCTGTGAAAAGACAGCAGGTCCATTGTTACTGGTGCAATAGATATTAAGTGATGGATCCCTTCTTCAGAACTGGGATCCTGAAAGGACCAGCAAGCCCAGGACTTAGTGCAGGGGCTCTCCCAGATGCCAGTTCATTGTCACCTCAGGGACCTGCATGTTTATTTCTATTGCACCACAGGCCAGTCTCAGAGAGGCGAGCGCTGACTTAGTTCATATGGACTGCAGGTGGTCCCTGCAGGAAGCTCTTGTCTATCTGAAACTAAGCCTCTGCCTCCTGCATCCCAGGGCCCCAAGAGGCTGGCTCCCTGCACAGGGGCTTGGGATGTGGAAAGCAGAGATACACTAAGATGCTACTAGCCCTGCCTGAGGAGAAATCATGATGGGGTCCCCAGAGAGAGGGGAGGGTTCAGAAAATCACCAATGCTGGATGACAGGTCGACTTGCTTCTGGAGTGGGGAGCTCCTCTGAAAAAGAAGCTAATGGAGAAGTTCTGCTCTTCCCATTTAACAGATCAGCTCAACTGAGACTCAGAGGACATGATCTGCAGAGATCCCAAGGGAAACCGGGGACTTTCCTGAGTAAACCTCAAATCTACCAGTGGAAGCTCAGTCTCCCTACTGTGTCTGTCGGTCACTAGCAAGAGCCTTACGTGCCATGAGGAAGGACAGCTTCTTAGGTGGACACAGGGAAAGAGCAGTTCTCAAAAATCATCTCTGTCCTGGTAAAGTGTTTCAAACACAGTCAGCATAAGGCTCATGGCCAGAGCTAGAAGTAAAAATGAAAGTCCTACTGTAATTTTGCTTTCAGCTGGAAATCAAATCATCTGGAAGATTTGCTCAGTAGAATTAATACTTTATAAGATGCCCTTAGTCAATCCAATATGCCGGGAACCCGGAGTATAGTCTCACTCAAGGTGTGCTCAATGTTACCATTATTTAATATCATTTCTAACAAAGCACCCATTTTCACTATTTGGCTCAGTGAAGGTTTTTGTTCTGTGTTTCGGTGACTCTGCCTGAGCACTGTGGCTTGTGTTTCTGATTTAAGAATAAAATTAAATTTTAAAGAGCAGATATTCAGAAAGTTAGGAGGCAGAAAGCAAAGGTGTGGCGCTTCCTGGGCTCTAACTGGGGGTGTGATTGTCAGATGCTGGGAAGGCTGATGTGGGACTTAAAACACCATCTGCCCTGGGATGTCCCGAGAGGTAAACTGAACCCTAAGTTTCTACATCACCTGCTGCTGAGCCTTCTCCTTCCTGGGAATGAAAAAAAAAAAACTAAGCATATCAGCTAACTCAGAAGCAGGACCTAGGGGTGAGCCCTGTGAGACATTTGATAAGCCCAGCATAGCAATCTGCATCTTCTCTCCAGAAAAAAAAAAAAGTCCTGTTATAATTGACTTTTAAAATGAATACCACACATACAGTGGTTGCTCCTAGCCAGGGGTCCACACAAACCCATGACAAGCCGCAATCTTTTCTGGGAAAAAAAAAAAAAATTCTTGGCTGTACCAGGCTGAAATTTTTGCCTTATATGAAATAGGGTCTTGGAAAGAAAGAGCCAATATCATAAAGTTTTCAAATTTGAAAAACAGGGTAATTCCACAAATGAAGAAAGATACCTTTTTTTAAAAAAAAAAATTATGACAGAAGTAAGAGAGAGAGAGAGAGAGAACAAATCAGAAAACGTTTTCTGCTTAAATATTCAAAGGTAGAATATGACATATAAAACAGAAATTTCCAATTTGAAAAAAAGTAACATATACTTGGAAATGTCCTGGTTTTCTTACTTGTATACCTGAATGTTCTAGTTTTTTAAATGCATTTAACAAATGCAACACAGCTCATTCAGGGTTGATTTGAGTTCACAAAATAATTTTATTAGATGTAAGAAAGCATACAGGCAGCAAAATGAAGGAAACACTCACAGTACAGAAGTCACAGACCCGATGCGGGAGGGTTTTCAGCAGATGTCTGTCCTTTGTACCAATGTCATCTCCGTATATGTCAACTGCTTATCAGGAGAAGACTGTAAACATTTCCACATCCCCATTGGGACTCCCACACTAGCCAGGAAGGGAGCAGCCGGGGAGGCTGTGGCGATGCTTTCCACAGTCCAGGTGTGACAGGATCCCCAGGCTCAGAGAAAGGAACAGCGTTTGTGAGCAGGGCCGCTGTGGCTTTGGGGCACTGAACACGGAGAATGAGGCACTGCTCCTTAATTAGGACACCATTAACATTTAAAGACCTTAAAAAAAAAAATGGGTCCTCCACTCAGATCAAAGCACACAAAGGGAGGAGCCCGATTGAGCAGTTGGGTTTGAGCTGGGAAGGTGAAGACACAGGGTTCCAGCTGGGTCCATCGGTGGGGCGGCTGTGACACAGAACCCAGCAAACTGTCCTCCTGCATCTTTCTACCTGGGACAGCCATTTGGCTCAGAAAAGCTCTGGGACACGCAAGCAGAGCAGTGAGAGGAGCCCAGAAGCCAGCTATTTTACATAAATACAAAGCCTCCTGCACCTCCCAGCCGCCTAAGAGGTACCCGGAGGGCTGAGCTGGCCCCTCGGAACTGCAATCGCTCCTGGGACCAGCCTTGGCCACGTTTGAAACACACGAGTAGCTATGCTTTTTTAAAAATTTTCACAATCTTTTTAGACTAAAAAATAGCCTTCACAGCATTTGTCCTTCTCACCTTGGATTTACTCAAGTCCCTGCATCCTAAGGGACCATCGCAGCTTCAGGTCCTGCCAGTCTGCGCTGGTTCCAGAAGTTGCTCATGAGCCTGTGCAACCTCACTCTGTGTTTGCTTCATTGGTTTATAAAGTGCTAGTTCAATGGACAGTTCAAGCTCAGATAACTCGAGTGTATCCTATTAAATATGATAAATATAGATTTATTATGATAAATTCAAAATATCCATATAATACAATAAATAAATAAAACCAATATCAACAAAACATCTCTCTGTTCTGAAAAAAAAAAAAAAGCATTGTCATTCCTACTGTAAGGCTCGGTTATTTTTTAGAAATGATTGATGAAGGCATGCACCTACCTTTACAATCTGAAAACTTTGCTTGGAACAGTTTTAGCACCTGTTTGTATACAGCAAACTCAACCCTTCGGAAAGCTTTGATTTTAATGAAGCTGTTCATTGCTGATTCTTTGCCCTATTTTTAAAATCCTAAGATAAGTTTCAAAAATGATTCTGAAGCCAAAGACATGTCCCTGTTGGCTCCCATGTATCCCTGTTTGATGGGCAATGAAAAACATGGAAAATACAGTGGAATGTATTTGAAAATAAACTTGGTTGTCTGTTCAAAAGGGCAGAGGTCCCCCTGACGTCTCAGTCCCACCAGACCTTAGCAGCAACCCCCAAAAAATCTCCTCCAGCTCTCAGATTGCCTGTGTGTGGCTGGGCTCACCCAGGAGCTCAGGTTGGATGCTGTCCATTGTGTGTGGTGGGCTGGATCTTCTCTAGAGAGACATCAGTGTCATAGTCCAATATGACTGACAGGGCTGGGGACAGCCTGTCCAGTGGTTTTGCTATTCCGCCTGCCTCCTCCTTCTTCAGGTCCTCAGAGGACCCCACAGCATGAGGGATCAGGTAAACCAGATTGCACTCCTTGGAGATGGAGCCTCGGGGTTCATGATGACTAGAAAGCACCACGGCCCCGTTGTTATTGATGCTAACTGTCTCTATGGCATTACCCGTTGTAGGGCACAGTCTGTAGCATCCTAAGAGAGTAGAGAATGCCTTCTGAAAATCAGCATTAAAGGCATAAATGATGGGGTTCAGGGAGGAATTAGCCCACCCAAACCACACGAACACATCAAAGGTGATGGAATCGATGCAGAAGGGCTGGGTCTCCTCAGACCCACAGAAGGGCACCATGCAATTTGAGATGAAGAAGGGGAGCCAGCAGCAGACGAACACCCCCATGATCACGGACAGGGTCTTCAGGACCTTAGTCTCTCTCTTGAAGGACATCTTAAAGGAGCTTTCTGATTGAGAACACTCGACAGGCTTCCCATTCCCCGTGGTGGTCTGGCAGTTCTTGGCGTGGACTGCTGCCCTCTCCAAGGCTGAGATGCGCCGTATTTGTTTCTGGGCGATCCTGTAGATACTGGTGTAGGTGACAATCATGATGGCCACCGGGATGTAAAAGCTTATCAGGGAGGATGAAATGGCATATGTCCTACTCAATCTGGTGTCACAGTTGTCCTCGGTCTCTTCCAGGAAGGTGGCATTGCCATCGGAGGGGCTTATGGGCTTGGCCTTGTGCCAGCTGAGCTGCACGGGGATGAAGGAGATGAGGACAGACAGAGTCCATGCCACACTGATCAGAATGAAGGCTGCCTTGGGAGTCATCTTCCTCTCGTACTGGAAGGGGCTGGAGATGGCCCAGTACCTGTCCACACTGATCACACACAGGTTGAGGATGGAGGCAGTGGAGCACATGATGTCAAAGGCCACCCAAATGTTACAGAAGGACCCAAAGGGCCAGAAGCCAGCAATCTCAGCCACAGCTTTCCAGGGCATCACTAAGACAGCCACTAAGAGGTCTGACACAGCTAAGGAGATGACGAAAAAGTTGGTCACCTTGGATCGCAGGTGTCGGAACCTGATGACAGCAGCACAGACCAGAGTGTTTCCCAAGAGAGTGGACAGGATGAGCAGTGACAGGAAGCAGGCTGTGAGGATACGGAAGGAGAAGTCCCTCTCCACCGCCAGCCCGGCACTATCCATGGTGGAAGTGTTCAGAGCCATCTTCCAGAAGGAGAGAGCCTCAGGGCTCCGACACCCCTCCAGTTCTTAAGCAGGGATGAGGGTCGGTCAGACCCCACTATTCCACTCACCAGTGGCTCCCCTGGCAGAGAACCTCACCAGCATTCCATCAGAGAGGGGCAGCAGGAGCTTCAGGGGGAGTCCAGGGCAGCCCCCTGTCCCTTCCCGCTGTTCCCTTAGCTGTCTTCTGACTCCTTCACTTCAGGTCACAGTCACCACCACCACCAGTTGGCCCCTAAATTCCCCAAGGAAAATGGCTTTTTAGCACATATTCTAAGTCATCCACCCTGAGACTCCCAGGCCTCTGCTGTGCCAGTCAATTGCAGTCACAGTTCCGGGTTGCAGCCTTTCTGGTGGGGACAGAGAATTCTCCTCTTTTGAGACGCAGATAAAAATACATGTCTTGTTCCTCCAAGCCCCTCTCTCTCCTCCGTAGCTCTCTAAACGCCCTAAAAAGCAAAGGAAAAACACAGTCGTTCTCCAAGACTTCAGCAGATCGCATCTTTGCTCACTGTCAAACCCAATCCAGTCATTAGCTGGGCGACCCTGTCAAAGCCACCTACCTTGCCTTGGATCCTCTCTCTCAAAGCCCCCGGAGCTCGGAAAGTGGACTTCGCAAGGCGCCTTGACTCCACAAAGCCCAGGAAGCGCGCCAGAGTCCGACCAGCCGCGCGCAGCGGGAGTTCGGCTCCAGCTGCGCAAAGATTGCCGGGGCGGGTCCGTGAAAGGGACCTTGGGCCAGGCCCCAGGAGGAGAGGCGCCGCCCCGCTGCCAGAAGCCCCTAGAGACGGTTCCAAGCGACTGGAACCAGGAAAAGGTCTACCGGTTCCTGAAGCTTCCCTGGGAGAGGGCACCCCCAGGACTAGTCCCTGGGGCAGTTTTGCTCCCTCCTTCCTGCAGCCCAGAGCCTGGGCGCCCTGGGGCGGCCTTCACCCCCTCGGGCAGGACCCTGAGCCTCCTTACAGCGCTGCCCACTGCCTCTCAGGAGGCTGTGGGAACGCGAGGCACAGAGAGCTGAGCTGGCACGGGCAGGCACTCAGTCCGGCTGGGTTCCCACGGGGCACAGCCCTCCCGGCCCCCGCGTTCCCTCCCCTGCCCTAGGGGCGGGCTGCGCTTGACAGGCAGAGTTGGGTGACAGCCACACGTGGTTCCCCTGGATGATGCTGCTGCGAAGGGGGTGGGTGACGCCCAGGTGAGCGCTTGCGCTCACTGGTTACCTGGCCAGTTCCTGGACCCCTGGACTGTACGCAGCAAGGCCCTCGGGACAAATCCCAACATTAAAACCTCAAGTAACCCTAAGTCGCCTGTACGCGAAGCTTGGCCTGACGTCCCACGCCTCTAGGGGTCAACCTCAAACTCGACCCAAAACCCCGAGCCAGAGCCTGTCCTCTTCCCCCACGCACGCCAAACACAACCACAGGCGCGCTCGTACCCCCAGCCGCGTCCCAGCGCCCGGATCAAGCCTGCGACCTGTCGGGGAGGCGCGGGTGGTACTTACCGCGGTCGGGAAGCGCGGCGTTCCGGCTGTGCCGCTGCGCCCGGAGGGCGCTGGCTTTGCGCGAGAGCCCAGTGGCCCGCGCATCCCAGGCTGCGGTCAACGCCGGTCTGCAGACGGTGCCCGGTGGCCCGCGAGCGCCCAACCCGAGCGCCGTGCGCTCCACTGCGTGGGCCCGGGGCGCCCTCTGCCGGCGCCTGCGGCCTCCCGAGCCCGCAGTGCCTCCGGGTCTCGACCTCCCTCGCCGCGGCCCGGAATCTGCAAAAGACCAGCGCCTCCTTCTGTTCCTCCTGGGCGGTTACTGCCTGAAAACCTGGGCAAGGGGAGGCGCCGTCTCCCCCACTCGGTACTGCTCTGTTTGAAATACCCCTAAAAGCCGATAAGGATGGGAAGTTTCTTTGGCTGGTTCGCCATTCGTGAACAGGTGTCCTCCCGTGTCCGGGTAAGCTAGCAGCAAGCCTGACTCTCAGAGAGAAGAGACAGGCGTTTGCTGAGCAGCCTGTGTCCCAGACACCGTCCTGTTGACGTTCGTTCGGTTCTGTACCACAATCCCTGCACCTAGGACCTCTCAGCTCCGCTTGGCGGGGTAGGAGAGGGTGCTCGGGAAGGTGCAGGCGTCAGGCCAGGGCAATTTCCAAAGCTAAGGAGGCGCCCAGCCTGGCCTGGCCGCTGCCTGAGTGTTCTTTCAAATTAACTGAGTCTAGAACCAGAAGCCACGAACTAATAACTACCTAATGTAGTAGACAGAGCAAGACACTCACAGGAAGGCCTGGCAGAGCTCCCAGGATCCCTTGTCACCCCCCAGCAGTGCCTCACAGGTCAAGATTTGCACTAGTTGTGCAAAAATGGAGACATCATGGTGCCTCCCTGTGTTCACATAACCGTGTGAAGGGAATAAGCCTGGAGATGGGAATTCACGCTGCCTAGATTTTTGTCTCTATGATATAACAGGGTGATTACAAGTCTTAAATGAGATGCTGGTTGCAGAAAGCATGGGGACAAACCTGGGATCTAGTCAGCCCCTCCTGGGCAAGGAACTTCCAGGAATCCTAAAATAGACGTGAGTATGTATGCTCTCACCTCCATGATCACCACACACAACAGGATTTTCTCTGTAAGAACCTTGGACCTAGAAGATAATTCTACCTAATGAATCTGTACCCACTACCTCTTGGTTTTAGATGAGGGACCACATGAGTGACAGACTCCTTTGCCTGTGCTTATCACTTTGTCCTGCTTCCAACAGCCTTAGTGTCACATGCAGGGCCCCAGACATAATCACATGGAATTTTTTCCATATACATGCCCCAAGAACCACATTCCTTAAGTGTGTATAATGGGACCCTTCCAGATCATTTAGTTAAGGCAGGCCTTCTCCAGGCTTCTTTATGCTTTATTTCATCTCTCTTTCCTTTTTAGGAATAAACACATATTAAAGGATGTTTCTAGTTCAAGGCATGTGAGCCCAAGTATGTAGATCCCCACATTCTCCCCATCCTGAAGTTTCTACTACCATTGCCTAGAAATAAGCGGGGGGGAGGGAGTAGATTCAGCACCTTGGAAAGCTGGGAATTTGGGGATAAAAGACAGCAGACAGGAAAGGGCTGGGGCTCCCTTACTTATTCCATATGGAGAGGGAAAGTTTCTCAGGGCCCAGGGGCAGAAACCCCCAAAGAACAGGCTACCCACCCCTAGATCAGGGCAGCAGGGTCTGCAGGGCAGGATGAGACCAAGTTGAGGGATGAATGTTCTGTGTAATGGCAGTCCTTGAGAATTGCCCCCCCCCCCCCCCCCCCCCCCCCGGGACAAAGACCCTGCAACACCCCCCAATACTCTACCCACTAGAGCCAGGACAACCACAGAGAGACTGAGTCTCCAGGGGCATTGGACTCCACAGCACCAGCTCAACAGGCAGAATATACCTGCTATAAAGCCATCATTATTGACCAAAATCTTGCAGAAAGGAAATGCCATTCATAACACACTTCATGTCTGCGTCTCTCTTAAGCTGGGCAGCATCTCAAAAGGAATTATCTTTCATTGCTGGAAAAATCCTTGACATTCTTTCAAACTAGCTTATGCCAATCTTTGCCTTTTTCCCTCACCCGACAGGCCCAGGTAATCAGATCAACAATGTCACTTGTGTAGTCGATGAGACATACTTCCAACCCAAGAAAATTTGTCATTTTTAATGTCAGAATATCAAATCTCCTCTTTAGCTTTAGCCTACAAGAAAGACCCAGAAAGCCAGGCAGCAAACAGAAACTTGTGAACGCAAAGAGAGGCTGGGGGAGATCCAGGAGAAGAAGAGCGTTGGACTATTTCTCTACATTTCTATAATTCAAAGACAGACACCTGAGATCCCTTTCTGCCAGACGTAGGTCCCTGGCCTTTGAATATAATAGTGGAGGGAGGAGGAAAAAGTAAAATGCAGCTAAAATTTCAGGGTTTCTATAAGGTCTTTGCTTAGCATCTGGATGGCCATCTTAAGTGACAGCCACCATTTTAAGGGAAAAGTTTCGCTTTCCCACCCAAGGGCATTTCTGAGAAAGGCTCACCATGCCCTCATACCAACCCCACCCTTAACTGCCCACATTAGGACCTGCCCAGCTCTAATTCCTGAGCCTCCCCCATAAAAGTCCCAAAAGTAAAGCCTGTGTTGCCTCTCTCTCCTATAGAGAGATGGCCTTAATTGTCAGCTCTGACAAATAAACTCTTAGGTAGGTCTTCCTGGTCTCCATCTTTCACTTCTCGCTCTCCCATCTCTCATTTCTCATTTTCCCTTCACTTTCACTTTGCACAGAGTGTGAATTTCAGAGGAACTCACAGTTTGGCTAGAGATTTGGAGGTTTTTCCGATTTTTCTCCCTTGAAGCAAGGTAAAACACAAACCTTTCATTTCATTCTGTAAAAGTCTCCCCACAAAGCCTCAAGCTCAGGACTCTTAAATGCAGGCAGGTATTAGCATCAGCTCTCCCCAGGAGCAAGGACCCACACAAAGCACCTTTGTTCCTGGGATTGGCATGTCTTTTGAGCTCTGCCTGGTGATTTATGCACCACGGGGGTGGGGGGTTAAAAGGCTGCTTTTCAACAGATTTTTATTCAAGGTTTGTAAAAGTCAATGGATACAGAAGGCACACTATCCAAGGGGGAGCTCAATCTCATAAAAGAATAAATAAAACAGCGGAGCTGTCAAGTGTCTCAGATGATCTTTGTAGGTGGGTTCAGGATTTTTAAAGCTGACTTCAAGCCCAAAATGACTGCTTATGGTGTTGGTGAAAAGAAGCGCTGGGCTTGCCCCGAGTAACTAACAGAACCACAATGCTTCAGAGGATGAATGTAAGTTGTTCTCCAAAATTCCCAATCCTGTGTCCTGTTTTCCTCTCCTATAGTTATTATTGCCATTCAAAAATCAACACCTAGGTTGTTTAAAGCCATCCAAAAATCAACACCTCAGCTGGCAGCAGTGGTGGAGAGATAGCGGCCTGTGCCACGTGTCTCCCATTGTGACATCTTCCTGTCCTCACGT